TGCTGGTCCTTTCGTCCTACTGTTGTGCATCGTGTTGGGACCAATAGTCCGCGGAGGCGGTGCCAAATCGAGGCGTTCGTTCCTCCACCCAATTTATGGCCTACGCTGCGCTTTGCGATTTCCATAATTACCCTATTTTCCGGTTTATAAGCCGCACCTTATATAAGCCGCACCCGCCGCAGCGAACAATGGCGCGAAAGAGCCTTCGAAAAGAAAGTTTTGATCTAACAAACTGAAAACTCGCTGCATTTTGTGACTGCTTTTCATTGCGCATGTCCACGTTTTCAGATATTTCTTCATTATTTCCAGAGATTCGGACGATTTTGGGGTGTTTGGGTTGTGTTTTTTCCTTGAGGATACAATGGAGTTGACAGTGTTTTTTTGTTTTTAAAGATGTTACGAGGTTAAAGCTGCTGCTATTTTGTTCGATTTCAATGATTGTTGATGATGATGCTGATGTTTCAATGGTGCTTTCAATGCTTACACAAGAAAGAGCGAAAGCAGAAAGTTACAATCAGGCTACTAGGTAAAATAGGTGGTAGTTGGATGCTTGCGCGGCTTCGCACATCGCGACCATCATCTCGCGTCAGCTCGCGCGCGACGAAAATAATTGCGGCTTATACGCCGGAAAATAGGGTACTTATTGTCTATTGCCCTCAGTTTAGCGAGCCGGATCTCGTTACAAAATTATAGCTGCAGACGCAAAAAGCTGGTGCGCAGAGGTTGCAAGCAGCCTTCGCATTTTCTGCGCAGAATGATTCATCCACAGAAAGTAAGTTTACGGTACTTATGATGAGTACTTTGTAAGTGACTATCGAACGATAACAGGTGAGACATCGGACTGATCGCAAAACAATAAAGCTATGAAAGTCGAAGTACTCTATATCATTTATCAAAGTTGACTTTTTGTGATTTTTTTCGTGAAATACTGCGAAGATGGATCTGTTCTCTTCAATCAAAAAAGACTTGTCGTTTTTTTACCAAAACTAAAAGAAACTGTGATGGATGGAACAAAGAATTCTGTACGATAAAAAAGCTATAATGACTAACACAACAGAAAAACAATGATGTATGCAGCTTATGAAAAGTAAAAGACTTTTGTGAATACAAAAAATGAAGAACTGATACACTTCTGAAGCCAATGATGATTCCTACTAAAAGTCAAAGGATCTTGTTGTAGCTTTGATAGAACTAAAAGTACGTTCAATTCAAAATTCAATCATGAATAAGGCAGAAACAGGTGGTTATTACAATAGAAAGAAAAAGACCAATATGAACTGGAAATAGGAACGCAGAACTTTGTCATACGACCTTCTGACTCATCGATGATCGCGCGGAAGCCAATAAGATATCAATCATGACACCTACATTACGGGAAACGATATTGGGAAACAAAAAGACTAGTAGAAAACATTTTATGAGAGGATAAACGAGATATCCTATGCAATCTGAGTGTAACATCTCCCAGCGAGTGCACTGCGAGGAGACGAGGAGATCTGAAAAGGCAGCGGCGAGTCACGGCCGACCACTCGCTTTTGTCTCGTTCAACTAGACCCCAAAACGTTAAAACAAATACTCGAACGAGAGACTGTCAACAACGTGCTGGCAGCTTGAGGACCACGGCGAACACACTCAGACAAATCTGCGCGCAGGCGGCGCGCACTGAATCAGCGAGCGATGTACCTTCCCGCCGCCTGTGTGTGCAGTGCGCGCCGCCTATGGATTGAAGGCCCGCCGCCTGCGCGCTACGAGGAAAATTTTGGCAGGAATCTGCTCGGATTTTTGTTGTCGGTCTGAATATCTTATGCTTGTTGGACAGTATGGTTTCACAACTGTTTTATTAACGAATAATATCTACAATTTTCAAATTTGACAGGTTTTAACACAAATTGCAAAATACAGTATTTACAGGATAAGGCTGTCTTTGACAGCTGGCATTCAATACTATTAGCTTAGGTAGTACTTACAAAATTCACAAACTTGAAGTGCAACAACAAGGTATTTACATTCAAATATGATATCAACAAGACGTGTGTATGAAGTAATGAATACAATGAAGTTGATAGTAACTAATGCAACAGAATGACGAGATAACTTGGAATAACTGCCAGTAAAATCACTAAGTACTTTGATAAATAAACTGAACAGTATACATAGATATGATTGCATAATATATATACGGATTTAGAGGAATAAAATATGAAAATGCGATAGCAATGAACAAAACGCGGGCATGCTTGATCAGCCAGAATTGAATGCTCCTGGAATTCATATACTCAATTCAATTACAGGAATAAAACAATTGGATGACGGAGCTATGATGGGTATAAGCATGAAAATTGGGATGAATGATGAGACATGAACAAATCTAAGACATGAATAATCTGGATCAGCCTCGTCCTCGTTAGTTCTCGTAATGGTTTTTGTTCTATCAAGAGTTGATTCCATCAGTCGGTCTAGGCGCATGCTGTGGCGCTGAAATACACGCTATTAACAAACTGAAGAGAAAAAGCAATAAATATTGACGAATGCAGAAAAAAATGCATTTTTTCACCTCTTCCGCATTTTTTCACCCCACCATGAGCGGCCCTGTGTCACGGGGTCAATATGATTAGGAACCAGAGGTAGGATAAAAGATATGGAAAACTGAGTGAGAAACAAGAGTGAATATGGATTAAACAAAAGAAGACGTGCTAAAAAAGGCAAAAAAATCGCATACTTGATTTCAAAACAATTTAGAAACAGAAAAAAGAGGTGAAACAGCAGAGTAAAAGTGAGGTAATAAACAACACAATACTTTGTATGAAAAAAACAAGGAGGAACGAGGAGAAACAATTATCTACAAAAAATTCTGCATTTGCGCGCGGAAGCAGCGTCCTCCTCCGCTTACGTGAAGCTACAGAAAGTTCACTGCGCGCCGCCTGCACGCACATTGTGTCTGCGCGCCGCCTGCGAACATGCATTGCGCGCCGCCTGTTGGCTGAAATCAGTGCGCGCCGCCTGTGCGGTGCAAGGTCACGCCCACAAATCACGGCCCGCCGCCTGCCCTGCTGGCCGTGAGTGCGCGCCGCTTGCGCGCAGAATTGTCTGAGCCAGGGCCCGGCACGAATCGGTTTCTAGGGTTTCTGAAAACGAAGTCTCCACTGACTTTCGGAAGTTTTACGAAGTTCCCTTTGACCTACCTGCTTAGGAGAAGATGAAAACAAGAAAGATTTACTAGTCTGAAAGAAAAGGCGTAAGATATGAGTGAAAATCCAGATTGGAGCTGAATACTACGCATGCACAAGACTTTGGCATTAGAGCGCGATATTTAACAAAGCGAGAAGAAATGAAAGCAAAAAACAAAGGAAAGGCAATGATATGAAAATGTCTTCATGCTCAGGGATAGATTTTTGACTGGGGAGTCCGTCCATGCTGAAAAGATCCGTAACTTATGTGAAGTGACGAAAATATATGCTCCAGACGATCTCAGATCGTCTGGTGGCCGTCTGGAGACGATCTAATTTTGGAAAAGGTATTACTTCACATAAGTTTTCAAATCCTTTTACATAATACTTTCGCAAATAATTTTCTCTACATACAGTTCAATTTTGGTGTCATATGATTCTGTGTGCGCTGAAAACAAGCAATATGTTTATTTTAGCCTTGCTTTCAAATCGCGCGCACTTTTCGCCATACACGATAGAGCATGTCAATCGTGTGATAACCTGTCCGAAACGCTTGTGTTCGACTAAATGGCGCTTATTCTTGGTGCTCGGCCCCGACTCGTCAAAAACGATATCTCTTTTGCTTTTTGCTTCAAAAACGAAGTCCAGCCTGCTTCCAGACGATCTGTGCCGGGCCCTGGTCTGAGCACAAAGATCCACGCGTATCGCCGCCAGGTGTTCGCTGCGGGACTCTCCGCGCGATAGGCGAGTTTCGATTTGAACGCGTCGTGCTGTCAGATTTTCGTTTCCCAATGTTTTCCTTGCAGAAATTGTTTTTCGTTCTCTTCTTTCTAGCAGTCTTTGTTACATAAGCAATGTAAGTCAAGTATGTTGGAAAATCTAATGTTTCTGATGTTCTTGGTTTGACAAAGCGCACAACATAGGAGATTCCAGCGTTGTTCTCGTCATAAGTTGACATTTGTTCTCATCTTGGCAGAGCATTTTTCGAACGCCTGTATCTGGTTGTATGTGACAAATCTGCTAGAATCTTGTCATCAAAACGATTTTATGTGCCTCGAAACGGGATATTTGTGCTGCACTGTATAAAATCTGTAAAAAATTCGAAACTATCGATAACACGAAGTGGAAGTTGCCGATCCAGAATGCACGCGAATACTAACAATAAGAAGTTGGAAGGTCGATGAAATAATTTGCTTCTCTTATTTTGTGGGCGCCTTAGGCAAAAAAGATCATTCTATTCTAAACACTTATTTTCATCATGGATAACTTTGTCCGGTAGAAAGGCGTACTAGATTCATATTACCCGCATGTTCACTTCCGCCGTAAAAAAAATGCTCGTAATTTTCTCCCTAAAGCGTTCCGATAGGGAAGGCAAATTAGGAATCGGTTTTGAAGATTATTTACAGTATGAATCCTGTATCAGCCGCTTACTTCCCTTCGTATCCCTGCCGTGTTGGTATTGTTTGAGAGCTTTCTAAATTGCAGAATGTTTTGCTTCCGAGGCTATGATTTTGCATGCTACGTACTGCAGGTAGTACTAATTTCACGAGCTTAAATAAATCCCTTTGGAGCCGCCAGAATCGTCGGTCTTTGATAGAAACTGGTCGTATTTCAACATAGTAATAAATAGTTTCGTTGAGTTGACCCGCCAACTCATGATAATGATTGTAACGCACGTCATGTGCATTAATAAATAAATGAATGAATGTAGCCAATTCGTGCTTGTCAACTTCTTACTCTGTTTTCAGTCATGTAGTTTACATTTTTTATCAGCATGTCTGAGATTTTTCGAAAATAGTGTGCTTCGTTCTTGAATTCTCATTTTTAACTGGCTTTTCAGATGGTGGAAAAGAAAGAAGAAGAAAAGAAGCGTCGTTCGCGTTCTGGTAGTTCATCTAGCAGCACATCATCGTCTGGCAGTTCGTCAAGCAGGTAAGTGGATCAAAATTTCCTCTCTCGATTCATAGGAATCTTTTTCTTTTTGTTGCTAAATGGCCTTTTTAGTGATTCATCGGGGTCTTCACGTTCTTCCAGTAGCTCTAGTTCATCTCGCTCGCCATCGCCTCGTAGTAAGAGGGACTCTGGAAAGGTGAGCACGGACGTCTCATTGTCGTTTTCTAGCAGTCAATATAGCTCGCTCGAAAGTTATCAAATTCTGATGAGTTCCGTCACAGGGAACCGCTGCTCGAGGACGTTCTCGCTCACCACGTCGTTCACCGGGTAGAGCCAGAGCTGATCGTGGAGGAGGTGATCGCCCAAGTCGTCGTTCACCATCTCCTCGTCGTCGCCGGGTTTCTCCCTCTCCCAAGCGTCGAACTGATCGCAGCACTAGCCGAGGCCGTCGTCGTTCACCTCGTCGTTCTCCACGACGTGCATCTCCTCGAAGGTCTCCTAAGAGGTGCTTATTTTCAGTTCTTTGTGTTTATAACCTGAGAAATTCCTTTCAGATCACCTCGCCGCAGTTCGCCTCGCAAAGCCAGTCCTTCGAAACGTATCTCCATTCGTAATCTTAGTCGAAATGTTACTAAGGTGAGTTTCTTTCCGGGGCGCTTGTGTCTGATTCTTAGTGAAACTTTTCAGGAACATCTTGCGGAGATTTTTGGCATGTACGGCCCAATAAAAAGTTGTGACCTTCCACCAGAGAGGTTCTACACTCATCTGCATAGAGGCTATGGATATGTTGAGTACGAGAACGCAGAAGATGCAGAGAAAGTAAGTCTGAGCTTCTATATCGTCTGTTTTGCATGTTAGTACTCATTAAATAATTCATTTCTAATAGTTGGGTCTGATAAACGCAGTACAAACCAAATTTGTCTGAGTTCTCGTATACGATCGCTATTTAGGCTCTGAAATACTTTGATGGAGGTCAAATTGATGGACAAGTTGTCAGTGTCGAGTTGACTCTCAATCGTGCGGCAAGTCGTCGTTCTCCTGCTCGCAAGAGCCCAGTGAGACGAAGGTACTCCTTTTCTATCGGTATTATGTTGTCTTAGAGAAAAGTGATTCCAACGATGTTCTTTTTTAGCCCTGGAAGAAGACGTTCACCGCCTGGCCGCGGTGCAAATGCAAACATGATTCCTCTCGGATCAAGTCGTTTCAATCGTAGCCGTTCGCGTTCTCCTCGCAGAAGACGCAGCAGATCTTAAGTCTGTGTATATGACAAGTTGACGAAATTCACTGCAAGTTGTTCTGTCATTCTTGAGCTAACTGTTTACAACAATCATTTACGCTTAACCGCGCTTCCTAAAGTTTTGTTCTGTTATTTTTGCCGGATCTCCATCATATTGTTGTATTGGTTCGTTCTGGAGGACAATAAATCGTAATGCAATGTCGTTTTGTTCGGCGGCGTGTCAAGATCCTCCAAAGGCTTGCCGCTTCTTCTTCAGGCGCACCCGTGGGAGGTAATATTCACTTCGCGCCTACGTCGCACCTATCTCGCACATTTCTGCGTTAGTTCCCATCCGGACTTCTGCCTTACTTCTTTTGGCATTAATTAGAAAGAGATTACATGAGTGACGAGTAATGATTCCCAAAAAAGTAATGAAAATGCTGTGGAAAAAAGTGCTTCTGATCGTATTCATTGAAGACGTGGTAGATGAGAGTAGAATCAGAGCTGATAATGTTTTCTGAAGAGCGGCGGGTTACAGATATTTTTGAAAATGTACAGCTCCGGAAGCTCTTTCATGCATAAACTTTCCAGAAGAGCCTTGTCAGTTAATTAAACATTAACTCAGGTTTAACGCTCCTAATCTTACCTACTACTTCTTCAATGTCCCGGTCACAAACACTTTTCTTAAATGTCTGTTTATTTTGATGTCTGTTTTCACAGCAGTTTTATTTTTTTTTTTTTTGAAATTCGTTTACACGTCGCTTATGTGCTGACCTCTCTAATTAAAGCCAGGAGAAGTAAGGCAGGAGGAACTGATGCAGGAATGTGCGAGATAGGTGCGACGTAGGATGCGAGGTAGGCAGTGAATATTACCTCCCACGGGTGCGCCTGAAGAAGAAGCAGCCTTTGGAGGATCCTGACCGCCCTCCGTTTTGTTCAGAGGTAAGGTGGGAGGTTATCAGAGTAACTAGGAAGGTTTGAAGCACCTAGTCGTTGCTTATCATTTTCATTTTATAACAGAGAAATCCCAACAGCCATTTTCTAGTCGTGGACCAGAAACAGTGAAAAAATTTTGGAAATGAAATTTTTTTTTTGAGAATTTTGGGAAATGGAAAACAGTACAGCTTTTTTCGTTCTGGCTACCTAAACAAAATTGAGCCTTGCTACCTCAATAAAAATTAGACCCGATAAAGGACAGAATATGCAAACATTTATAAAATTTGAGCAGAATGAACAACGTCAATTCATATTCTGATTACTTCAAATCTAGAGATATCAACAAGATTTGCAGCATCTTGTACTCCACCGCTCCCAAAATCACATCGAAGGAACGAGCCCATGCCTCCACGTGCCATTATTCCGGGATTCGCCACTACGGTGCCATTTATGTTCTGAACAGATTATTACATAAAGGTGCTACAATTTATGAGCCACTCATATGACAGTTTTAGCTAAATGCAACTTCAAATACCTTTATCGAAGCGGACAAAACCGACGAGGCAATGATAATGTGTGGAGCACTCTGCAGCGCACATATTTTCAAACTCTCTTCTGTAGACATGGGCAAACATGGAGGATATAGTGGATATAGGGATCGTTGGCTACAAAGGTAATAAAAGTAAGAAAAACTGACAACTATAAGGCAAAGTACCTAAGTAGATGTGAAGCTAGACGTGAGATTCGATCACGATTTTCTTGATCTTCAGAGCGATGCCATTCATTTTTACTCAGATGTGCAACAATCTGAAAATGGAACACTGATCCTTCATGTGGTACTAATTTGACGGTCTTAAAAACTGCTATCAAACCAATTCGAGTACCTACCTCGCTACTAGTTAGAGCAATTTCTATACCATTTACGCGGACAATGCATGGATCAGGAACCGAATGCAAACGCTGAATTGTGCAAATATGGATAAAAGCGAAGTTTGGCCAAAGGCGACCTACCTTTCCCATTCTCTTACAAACATCGGAACTTATGTCTAGAGGAGGCGTGGGGAAGAAAGGAGCACAACAAAGATCTCGCGAGGGCGCAGGTTGCAGAATGAGTTCAGTCCGACATCTAAACAACTGACAAAGTATCAAGAATTCGGGGACATTTATAAGGATGGACTACTGTTAGATCATGGGATCTCAACTATGATCTTGATTTGAATTTGGAAAATAAAGTGTAATCATGAAGTGTCAACTGACCCGTCCAGAGCTTTGGCAATATTGCGCATCAACTGTTCAAGTACTCCATCATAAGTTTCTGGAAACTCCGCACGTTGGATGAAAGTATTTTTGCTGTCGACGAATGGACCCATCTGCAATACAGGTAGACGTCACTTGCATACTTAGTGAACTTTTGCTGACCAGTATGAGCAGGTGCGGCTGCTCTTCTTTGACCATCTCAAGCAGGTCGCAAAGGGGTTCATAAGAGCAGTTCTCCACAGTAGTGAAAGGCCCGCAGGCACACCATATGCGTAAATTGTCTAAGACGAAGGAAATGGTAATTTTCAGGAAAGAATTGGAACTTTTGCTGGAGAGCAAGGGGTTAAAAAGAGGTAGATAAGCCAAACAACGATACGCACTGAAGTATCAACATATGCAACGAAACAGAACACGTAAAATAGATGATGCTCGTCAACGTAAATGAAACATTGGTATGACTAAAAAAATGTATCTCGCGGGCCCAACTAATCTTTCTTTTTCTCCCATTCCCTCTCTCCCCAGAACTTGCGCAAGATCGTCAAAACTTACCATCATTTGGAGGCCTTCGCAAAGGTGACAGTTTCAAAGGTGAAGGCTGAAACTGTTTGACAGCCACGAAACGCTCACCACCTTCAAATGAGCCATAGTAGGCGACCAACTAAAAAAATGAAGTCTGGTCAAACTCAAAAAGAGAAATCAAGCTTCAGCTCACCTGTCCAGGAAATACGCTGACTTCATTCAACCGAGTGAAATCTAACTCAATCACGGTGCCGTTCTCATCATCCATCAAAAGTGAGAGTGTTTTATCACCTGTCGCGGAACTTTCAGTCAAGTCGTGAATAATCTCACCATATACGTACTCCAACTCCTAATTTGTAAAATGATATTACAGAAGAATTAGGTAATATAAAAAGTGCATATTAGAGGCTTACGGTGGAGTTCTTCACTGGTATGGACCAACCAGTTATCTCAGGATTTTGATCACAGCAGGCAGCGGCGAAGACGGACATGCGTTCAAATTTTGCTAGAATAAACGACCTTTTTCCTCAGTTTTTGCAAAATCAGATATAATTACCATCTATCACATTGGATGCCTTGTCAGCAGCATACTTCTGGGAAGGAATTGGAGAAAGCACTTCAACAGCGACAGAAGCACCTGCCGCTGAACCTTTTACGAATAATGAGCCTTGAGACTCTTGAACAATTATGCCTCTCTCGGTTCTTGACTGATACCTAGCATTTGAAGGTGAAGGTCTGAAGAAAAATGGAGATCTCCAAGAAAATCTGTGTTCCCAAACCAAACAAAGCAAAATAACATACAGAACTGGCGCAAAAGCTCTGTATTTCCCAAGAAGTTGGGTTGATCCGAAATCTTCTTGGATCGACTCGTCAAGTTCCATACAAGAAACATTAGCGTACTGACTGGTGGGTCGTTCCCCGAATGCTGTCCTACAAAAGCTTCGAAAGTGAACAATTTAACTGAGGGAATGGCAAATATGGTACCGCTTAGGCTTCGAGGATGAAGGGGTCATCACTGCATCGAGATTTTTCTTCAGTTTTTTGCTGAGTTCCTAAATACGCGATAATAGGGTCTCATAAACTTTATTGGGTGAGTTTATTTGACCGATGGTTTCACAGCCCATTCTTGGTGCCTAGGTAAAAATGCCTTAGGCAGTTTGATTTTGTAAAGAAGTTAATGAGTGACAAGATTTCCAAGTTTAGAAAAAGTTGTGCTCACTGCTTCCATATGATCTAGTATAGCGCTGTCCACTACCATTTTCTTCATATTCATAGCGGATGCCAGAAGATCGTCGACAAAATCGTCAATTTCAAGGTTGAATTCAGTCGCCAAAGAGTTGACTAGAAATGCAAAGACTTTTTACCAGTTTTCATGATTACATAGAACAACCAACTTACTTCTGTTCATAATTTCATCGTTTTCTGGAAGGGAGTAACCAAATTCAGACAACGCATCCGCAACGGAATCATAGTCCATGTAAACCATGGTCAAACACTGTAGAACTTGGAATCATTCATTTTTGGTAAGTATGGCATCGAAAAACAAAAAATTAGAGGGTGAAAGTGTTCTTAGAAGTGAAACTTCAAAAAATTCATGCAAAAACATTCGCGCCGAGCAATTTTTGAAACCACGGCCCATTTGCGATAGGGCGCACTTATTTCGCTTTAATATTCCGCCACAATCTTTGTCGGTTTTGAGAAAGTGTTGTTTTTTGCCGTACCGTCCCTGTTTCTTTTTTGAGAAGTCGATCTATGTTCATGCCAGTCAAGTCTGTTTTCGTAACCGCTAGTGAATCCGTGCAAATTTTTGTATAAGCCATTCATAAAATCGTGACGATGGATATGACTGCGGTCTTTGCTCCCACAAGAGCACAAAGCACTCATACAACAAATGTAGCATCTCAACACTCAGCTCTCAGTTACTTCCAGTGTTCAAATAATATCAACGCAAGCAGAAAAACTATTCGTTTAGAGATGAAATCCAAGAAAACGCGTTTGCCATGAGCGCGTGCGTGTCGCGCGCGGTCGCGCCATCGTCACGATTTTTCAATGCGCTATGGCTTCATGCTCGAATATACAGGGCTCCTAAATTGCAGAGTCGTTTGCACCAGCGGTCGCGCGACCGCGTCGCGCCCGGGCATTTTGCCGGAGCCGGCGCCATCGATCGAGGCGGCGCCATTGATGCCCGGGCGCGACGCGGTCGCGCGACCGCTGGTGCAAACGACTCTGCAATTTAGCAGCCCTGTACTTACCTATATATGGGCGCTTTTGTCCTATATTTACACGAATTATTTCTTTTTACAATGTTGAATTTAGGTTGCATCCCATATAGCTTTGCAATGGCTATCAAATGCTTTCTTTGCGGAGACATGGTGGAAAGAGATTTCGCTACACGCACTTCCAAGAGTAGGATCCACAACGCAATTATTCTATCTACGCTTAGTATCTACTCATCAATCAAGCCAGAAGTGGCGAAAAGTTGCTTTCCAATCATGAACACAAGAAAATACATCTGCCTAATTCATTGCACAGATGCTGTAAGTTTTCACGAATTTTTGAGAAGAAGGATGCTACAAATTATCATCCAGGCGCAATATCTTCTCGCAGAAGTACTGCGGAGCGGCGGGGCATTGTCCGAAACGCTAGAACGTATTCCATACATGAATCAGAACGACGTTTTTGAGCATATTCCAGCTCTTCTGAATGATGCGATAGGATTGTTTGCAGTTAGTTCCCATTGCTAGTTTTTTTTTGACACCTGGGACTTTCACATGGAAACTGATCGTGGGGCCCTAATTAAGTGGATCAGCAGAATGGACCCCTGCCAGATTTTGGTAGTTTCGGGTAGTAGACCCCGCATACTGCAGCCCCAACCCCATCTTCCAATTCATGCGCTAAGTCCTGAAAAAAGCGCTTCAAAACTCCATCAGCCTCGCCCAATTCCATTGAGTGGGCGTTAATGGTGGAATTTTGAAGCGCTTTTTTAGGACTTAGCGCATGAATCGGAAGGTGGGTTGGGGCTACGGCGTACTTGAGGGGTCTACTACCCGAAACTACCAAAATGTGACAGGTGTCGATTCTGCTGATCCACTGCCTTTGAGGCATCATTCAAGCTGCAGCGCAAGTGATGCATCCACGGCTGAGAAACCTGTTCCCATTACCACATATATTGTACGACTTGAGGGTATGCGTGCTTTTGCGGGACACTGCTTTTATGATGTCCTCGCGTAAGGCTTAAGCCAATGCAAGTCGCCCACTATACGGTAGTAGGCGCAGGTTTAGAGATAAATTTCTTGGCGCTTGGGTGAGTCATGTGCGCTGTCACTTAGGCAGTGTCTTAACTCGGGCAGAGTTCACGCGATTTGATCGTCGCGATTCAATCGCTACAAGACAAGTGTTACGAGTTCATTGCATGCCGATCTTCTTGTATTTCGGTTGTGATAGTTAGTCACGATTAGTCGTGTTGGAGAACTATCACAACCGAATGCAAAAAGGTCGGCAGGCAATGATATTGTTATAGTTGTCCTGACGCGATCTATCGCGACGATCAAATCGCGTGAACTCGCAAAGTCCACGCGATTTCATCTCCACGATTCTTCCAACAAGACAAATATTACGAGTTTATTGCATGCAGATCATCTCGCATTTCGGTTGTGATAGTTCTTCAACTCGACAAATCGTGACTGACCGTCACAACCGAAATGCAAGATGAACTCGTAAGGGAACGGCCATAGGTTGTCGGTGTTGTCGATGTTGTCGGTGTTGTCGGTGTTGTCGATGTTATCGGTGTTGTCGGGGTGTCGGGGTCAGAGACAGTTTAGAGAGCGCGCGAAACGTGGAGGCTATCATAAGGTCCTACAACAACCGGCAACCCCGAACATCGACAACACCGACAACATCGACAACACCGACAAACCGACAACCTATGGCCGTTCCCTAAGTGTTTGTCTTGTTGGAAGAATCGCGGCGATGAAATCGAACTCTGCGAGGCGTTAGGGCCCCGCAATCAATATCTTTATGGAGGCCCCAAGAGTCAGATCTGTCTGGACGTTGCTTTCAAGTTATGCAAAAATTTACAGGACGACGTCATCGTGAGCAGCTACGATGTGACACGTTATCTGAATGATTACCTGAAGAGGTTTTACGTTCATGGTAGGTGGTGTACTTCTCCGGCAACCGGTCTGATGGAAGACTCACTAGAGGTAGTCTCGCATCCCGTAATTTGAGCAATTCAGTATTTATAACTATTTAGCCATTCACGCAGCAGACAACATCAAACAATAGTCTCGCTGAATCGCATGACTGTCAGACTGGAGCACCACCTGTAAAAAAGCGTAACTTAGGATCTCCAGTCAGGTTTTGTACATCGCCTGCGGAAAATAAGTCAGAATCCTCCACAGAAACAACGTTTAAGGTATGCGTGACCGATACCGATAATGTCAAGATAACAAATGCATTCAGAGGCAAGGCTCTCACACTATTTCAGGATGGTTCTTTCTTTTCACTTGATGAGCTGCAAGCTGACTGCGAAGTGCCTGAACTCGAAGAGACTGATCCAGCTTTGCTGGACAAAGATTTCGTTATCAAAGGCAGAAAGCTTCTAGAGCTGTTCAACCTTAACAGATGCGGATGCAGCGACGACCATGAAGCTGGAGTTGTTCGCCTAAAGGAAGATCCTTCTAGCTCTGCCCCAGTAATCGAGTATGTTACTAAAGGGCAGAGACCCAAGCTCAAACAGTGGGAAGGACAAGAAGACCCGGAACCCGCTCTGGAGGAGAAGTTATGCAATGGGGAACATCGGCAGCTATGATTATTGCATGTATGACTGTAAATCCTTGATTATTGATTGTTGTGATTGCGATTATCTTTTCAGAGAATGAAGCTCTGAACAGAGAACTGATCTGCTTCTGCTCCTCGACCTACCAGTTACATCCATTATAAAGAGGCCGTCTGGAAAAGAGAGATGCAGGACGGACGAACTCGGATCATTCAGCAAATCAGAAACGTCTGCAAGGTAAAGAAACGTATGAGAATAGTCTTCGCACTGCATATTTTAGATCCAACGTTTTAGATCCACGGCCTGACCAAAGCAGAACATCACGCTCAATAGCGACAGTCTTGGAACAAAGAGAATCTCAGCTTCCTTTGGTCCATAGAAGGTGCTCCGTTCACAAATGTGTTGTGTTTTTGATGTCACCTGCAGTTGTTACTAGAGATGGACCACAGTTAAACGCATCAGGAAGCACTTCTCTGATAGTTTACGAATTCTTCAGTCTTTTGTTAGCCATCATGATCATTACGAGAATTCTTAGCCTTGCACTGTGCAAAGATTTGAGCCGTACTCATCTACCTACATGTTTCAGTTTGCAAAAGTTTTTCTAATTAAGAAAATGGACATTGGGAAAAGTTTTAGCCGCTTCATGAGTGCTTTGCTGATTGCTCTGTTGTTTACTTGTATTCTGTTTCTTGTTGTTTTTGGTAGTAAAGCAGGTTCAATTACTCAGCTCTGAGGTTTGCTCTTTAATGCTCCATATGGCAGGCAATCTTTGGTACAGAATCGTGGTGTTATCTCTAAGTAAATGGTTACATTATGAGAAGAACAGACGACAGATGGACACTTACAACATCAGAGTGGATTTCTCGCGAAGCAAATCCCCCAGAAATCCTCCAACGAGAGGGCAGACGTGTTCGTGGAACGGATGGACCACCTGAGGAATCTGGATACAATTTGCACCTGGAACTCGTGGAGCAGCCACCGACGTCAACCAAGATCGTGGATGGCCGGAACAAGGGACAGGGTTAAATGGAAACTTCTGTGCCTGGGGCCCGCACGTCATGTAAAGCCGAGCCATCCAAGTACCTAAGCAATGGTCTCCTGCAGGGCCTTGATTGACTATCACTGTGGTCTTTGCACCCACCCAATGAAAAGCATAAAACACTCAGTCACTAGGCATCAAAGTGCCAGCTCAAACTTCGAATATTCAGAAGACATGACATAAACACTCAAAAAGTAAAGGCTTCGAGTAAAGACAAACGCAAAAACACGGTTACTGAAAATGCATAAGCGATGTTCGCTACCCTTCCAAGCTTTATAGGAAAGGAATGGGAATGGGACAACTTCTGGGCCATATTCAAAGCCAACGTATAGGCCAAGATCTGACGGAATTGCAAAAATTCAGTTATTTGCTGTCATCCCTGAATGGGGTGGCGAAGTAACCTATCTCGCGATTCTTCGTGTCAGCAAATGATTACGAAAGAGCCATAAAGCATTTGACGAAACGCTAGGCAGCAAGGATGCCATTCTTCCGGAATTGAAAAAAAGTCTACAGAATTGTTTGGCACGAGGACCAGCACCGCAGTCAACGACAGATGTGGGACAAACTTCCAACTATAGCAGCGCAATTAGAAAAACATGAGCAACATCCCAGCAATCAAATATCAATTCAATTTTTTCTTCAGAAGTTTCATGTGCACATTAGGAAAGCAGCCATGGAGAAGCGACTTAAACATAAAGAAGTAAACAGTACTGAGTAGACATTGGACCAATGCTCGAAGCTATCGATGACATCTCGTCTCCTTTAATACACCATCCTTTTGCAGTGGCTCCGCCTCTGCAGAAGGATGGTGTAGGACGATCGCCTCTTCCCCGATTCAGAACGAAAGGTGGAAAAGGTCAGTGAAAGTGGCCCGGGAAGGAAAAAGTCGTTCAATACGGTCACAAGCTGCAGGAGCCACATTGACTTATAAAATTGAACATTCAATTACAGTCGTTTTCTTTGAGGTCTGCAGGGTGCCTCGACTAGTGAGAAGGACTTGGAACGTATTCCAAGACCACCAAGGAACTCACGGAGAAAGACGAACCTTGTAAAAGGCTTCAACTGCAGCTCATCTCGAGCGACTGGTAACCAACGCCAGGTGCGAAACAGCTTTGCAGGAGGATACAGGTAAGCGAGATTGTTGGAGGCAGTCAAAGAAAGACAAAGTTACAAAAAGTGCAAAAGCATATAGCTGGTAGCTTAAGTGAACGAAGACGAGAACCCAACTATACATTCTATTGCAAAGAACTTCTATACCAGCCATTTCCGCTTGTCAGTACTCGTGCCGAACCTCGTTTTTCCCACCACACTTGGGAACGTACATTGCTGTTTCTTTCTGCGGAAATACGCACGATCTAGACTATGAAGACATCCACAGACTCACGGGCTTCTGCGATTCGGAGGACATCGTCATAGACTATACAAGAAAAGGAACTCCGACTTAAGGAGGACCAGTACAAGTTGATCGGATCCGGGTCAAACAGCTAACAGACTATCTCGTAGAATCTTTATTGAGCCAAACAAAACATTTACCAGCTAACAATGACTATATAGACAAAACCGGGACAGCCAAAGACAAGAGTGGCGAGTTGCTATGAATTCGCTACCAAAAAATGAGTAAATATTTTGCACTAATAGCTTTTAAATCTCATTATATAATACATTCATCATTCCTAAAATGCTGATAAGGAGAAACAATGGACACTTGAGATGCAAAACTACAATATATTACGAATTTCTCGGGAAAATAAAAGAGAAACAACCGGTAAAATCACCACACACATACTTATGGGAGAAAGAAAGGGAAATAGGGAATTACAAGCAACTATGTTCTGGTAATTTCCAAAGTACAGTTCTATGGTTCTGTTGAACTAGAACTACACAACTGAGCCATCTTATGACTCTAATGAAGCAATTCTAGAGGAAAAATTGATTACTAACGATTAAAAAAAGAGGGGTAAACTACTTGCTTAAAGCATCAACAAAGTACAATGATAAAGAAATGAGAAGTCATTTCACTGCCTCTAAGAACATGTAGTGCGGAACATCCTCGAACGAATATAAGTAGAAAAACGCCAAGTTGTGCAGTGATCAATCACAAAAAGGGCAAGTTTTACCCAACAGAGCTCATGTTCAGTGCAAAATAAAGATTATGACCTACAATTACATTATCACACTCGGCACGCACTTTAGAACGTGTTGATATAATATGAAACAATGAAGCATATCTGAGCACTAATGAGATGATCGAAGCCAACATATAATCGAAACAATTAATGCACTATTTAATGTCGTGAGCGCTACGACTAAAATCAAAAGAATTTTGTGCGTGCAAGGTCAGGCAGAAACGCAGGTCACCCGAGAGGGGAAAATGAATCTTTAAATCTATAGAAAGATCAACAATAGAAAGAAAAAACGTATCGATTACATTTTGTGAATGAGCGGAACCAACTTCGAGTAACTCGTAGAGTGCGGCTTGAATTTAAGACTACAATACTCCTTGATCTCACACAACGAAAACGCACTAAGAATCAGCGGTGGAACTATTGAGCATCAGCTGCTACATCACTATCACGAAGTGAATCCTGAGTCATGCTACAGTAACCTCCATCAACACTGGGTTGTTGCGCTGTATACTGAGGTGATGGTCGATATAATAACGGTCTTGAATGAGACTGAATCTGTAGCATTTGCTGCTGTTGCATCGATGACATCACTGGTGATGTCTGCGAGTAGTGATACATCGGCTCCGTGTTTACAAGTACGGATAGTGGAGCCATCACAGTTTTACCTGAAAAAAGGTAAGCATGCCTGACACAAAAACTCCAAAGTCAATTTGTAATTTGTAATCGTAATTTGTGCAACACCCCTTTGCTTCGATCTCGCTTACCAAACAAAGTTTGCTCGACACACGAGATTCAAATTGAGCTTATACGATCATGATAAAGTATACTAAACTAGCTGGTAAACTCGGCCGTGTCCGTTCCTGTCGATATTACTTTCGTAATCAGCATGCTCGCTTACCCCTCCCCCCCCCCCCCCCTCCCTCCCCGGCCAACTCCCACCCTCGTAGGCAAGACTTTGAATAAAAATCGATAGGATCGATGTCGATCAACGACGAAAATTAGCTTACAACACCCTCTCCGCTGCGACGTGGAAATGAAATTTCTACTCAACACACGTACAGACATACAGACATACATACAGACAAACGACATCCAGCTTCATATAAAAGGCCTCGGGCATACTTCACGCGATTTCCTTTCGCGACGCTATCTAGCAATCTGCCAGATGTCCTAGAATGCAACATTTGCGGGATTCAAACTCACGGTATGTATGACTTTCGCAGATTGGCAAAATGCTCTATCCTGTGTATTCAGGATGAGCTAATGATGACTAATAATCAAGTAGAGCACTGCCAAATCGCGTCGCGACTGAAATCGCGTGAAGTATGCCCGAGGCCTAAGATGATGAATATAAAGTGTAATATTTTGATAACAAGGATCATCGGGAGATGGAGTGCTTACCTATAGGAGTTTGGAGAGGAACTGGAGCAGGTGCTGTTACTTGCGATTCTGTTTGTTCCGTACCAGCGGAGGTCTCCACAGTTTCACTTTCATGGGTACTTTCTTGATATTGTTCCGTAGATTGCTAAAAAAATTGATTCAAAAATCCAAAACTAATCCAACCAAAACGTATGGTTATCTAAGTGCAAGTGACAAACAAGAAGAAGGAGAAGTAGAAATGTGGAGAGAAGATACCCACCCACTGGCCGTACGCAACTGGTTGGTATGTTGCCGGCTGCTCGGCTTTGGCTCCATCCACATACTGCTGCGCAGCTACCGGCGCCATCGTCATGGCAGAATATCGTGGTCTGACCTGCTGAGCTTGTTGCTGGTACAGAGGTGACTGCACATGCACTACTGGCTGTTGGGCCATGTACTGCTGAGACATAGGGGCTTGTACGACAGTCGGCTGATACAGATTTTGTACCGGTGCCTGGACAAAGGTTGGCTGGTATTGCTGAGGTTGTATCAACTGCTGTTGAACCATTTGATGGGGATAGATAACTTGCTGGTATTGCGTCTGGTACGAGGGAGGGTGAGCAAGTGATTGATACTGCTGTGGCGCACAGGTCATCACTTGAGTCGGATAGTGCTGTGCAGAGTACTGGACGTAATCAGGGTGGGTAGAAAGGATTTGCGACTGCTCCAGCTGAGTCTGGGGCATTTGTGCAATTTGTTCTTGTGGCTGGCATTGCATGACAGGAACTTGCTGCTGTTGCACCGTAGTCTGTGGTACCGGCATGACGATGGTTGGTTGTGGAGGGTAGATTTCAACAGATGTTGGAGTCATCATCGTAGTTGGCTGCATGTATACCTGTTGCTGATACGGAGGATAACTGAAAGAAAAAAAATAGAAGCATTTTTCTCATGGAAAGGTTGAAAATAGAAAGAATGGTGACTCACATAACTTCCTCATTAACAGGATACTGCATCATTTGCGGATATGACTGATACATTACTTGATGTGATGGTGGATTTGAGCTTGTCGACCGATAGCTGAACTGACTAGCACGATCTGATAAGCTCGCATTATTGAATCGTTCCACGGTTTCGTCGATAGGGTCGCGAGGTGAAAGGTGGCTAGCTAAATGATCATCCATTGATTCAGAAACATCACCAAACCTGTGATTTCGAAGGCAGCGTCCAGGCAAATCTGGACATATGGGGAACTCATGTGGAAAGTAATTTCGGGGCTCTTAGACACTTGAGCCGCAGCGCAAATGATTCGCGCACGGCTGAGATCTTCATTTCCAGATAGACAGTATCGTACTGACGGACGACTACCACCATAATCCTTTTTCATGCCCCCGCGCAAAAGCATGCAAGCGCGATACACGTCCTCCGTTACGAGAATGGGACTCAGTTTGGAGGCGAATAGCCGTGAGTGGATCTCCGCTGCTTCTTGCGGATACCTTAGTTTGGCCCCAAACTTTCCACGTACATCGCTATATGTTCAGATCTGCCTGGACGCTGCCTTCAAAGAATCGGTAATACCGCTAGCGATTCAGAATCGCGGTCACCACGCGATACGATATGGCAACTCGCCAGATCTCTATGAATCATCCATCGCGCGTGGATGACATGATAGGCGCACACTTTTCCAGGTTGTTGTAAACATGCCAACATGCTTACAAAAAAGTGCGCTCACGAAAATATTATTAACTGTCAAAGCAATGACAAATCGCACAACGACCAAAATCGCGCGAGGTATGCCCGATTTCTAGAACTCATGAGCAGAAGCGCAGCAGTAAAGGCAAGATTTTTTGCTGTATCGCTAGCGTAAGTGAATAAAAACAGAAAAATGAAATGATAACGCTAAAGCAGAAAAAGTAGCAAGTCTTACATGATGCAAGTGAATGAGCTTGTCCAGTTTTCATTTGAGATCGATCGTAATTTTCGAAGGAACCACTGCCTGAGCGATAAATTGCAGGAACACCACTAAAGCTGCCAGCTTTCTGTAAATTGGAGGTTTTTATAATACACTTGATCGGAGGAATGTGGTTTGATTTGGCTTACTCTCATCATGGTACTCCGATCTACCATACCCATTTGATAAGAATAGTGAGGTTGCTTTTCAAAGGATCGTTGGTTTGCTTGTGCCCACGTATGTGCCTAAAAAATACAAATCATGCCATACAACCATGTGCGAAGATCACGTAGATAGTAAATGTTGTTCGTTCCAGAGACTGTCATTAACACAGCGCAAGGATTCGGGCAAACTAAGTGCCAGCAATTTATACGACAAGGATCTCCTACATCTTTCCTCAGAAAAAGATCTCAAAAGATCTTTTTGAGGTAATTCTGTTTTCAAAACAAAAGCACCACTGGCCTCAATCCCCCCTTCATAATCGAAACACCGTCTATATTCCAAACTGCGTTGGAGATCTGCCAGCCGCTAATCGATATCTCTGTTATTTGCTCTACATCGAACTTGTGCCCGTCTTTTCAATGAGCATACATTTTCTGGTCTTGTCTATACTTTCTTATCGATGAGGGCGAAAACGATAAAAGTGTACGACTTGAAGCCGCGTCTAGACTTGCCCATAGATAATACAAGACTACCAGAAGAGACTCGATACCGCACATGACACTCGACAGCATCGTTATTCCTTTCAGTGCATGCGGCGCCGTCCTTGCCTGTTGCAGCCCGCTCGGCAAACCCAGCACCGGCATATTACAACTCTGGACGCAACATTTACTTGATAGGAGACGATGCGAGACAGGCGCGCGAATACTTGCACGCACCATCCGCTTGATCCGCTAATCATTGGTCAGTTCACTGAGCGATGACGAAGCGGATCAAGTGGGTTAAAGGCAGTGTCCGGGCAAAAACTCGATTTTGAGATTTTGTGCTTATACGGGCCTATTCACCATGCTGAATCCGAAAATCCACACTAGAAAGCGCGAAAACGGCGAAAAAGGGCTCTAACACAGGAGAGAAATCCGCAGGTGGGCGGGGCTTTCCCCAGTGCGATTTCACGCTCCCAGCTTCCGGAGCGATTTTCTCGATTCCGCTAGCCGTTCTAACATCGCTACCGGCCAAGTGCGAATGATTGACTTGAAACCGGAAGTGAGAAGATCGCTCCGGAAGCCGGGAACGTGGATTCGCAGTGGGGAGGACCCCGCCCACCTGCTCATTTCCCTCCTGTGTTAGAGCCGTTTTTCGCCATTTTCGCGCTCTACAATGTGTATTTTTGGATTCAGCGTAACGAATAGGCCCAAGTAAGCATAGAATCTCAAAATCGAGTTTTTACCCGGACACTGCCTTTAAACGGATCAAGTATGGGCGTGCCTCAAGCCCTGTACTTCACGCGATTTAGTCGCGGAGCGATTCGGCAATACTCCAACTGTGCATGGCTCACCGTAAGGGGTTTCTAAATGTACGAAAGATAAAGCATTTTATCAACCTACAGATTAAAGCTGCTGTGCATTTAGGGTCTGCCAGTATCAAAATTGAAGACGGCGATTTGCCAGATCGCGTGGCGACTGAGATCGCGTTAGGTATGCTCACGCACTTATGCATAGACTAATTTTAATCCCGGCACATATGGTCGACACGATTACCGCGGGGGATGCCCGCAATGATCGACCGATTATCAATTTATCAACCACGCCTCATTGGACAGACGCACCGCTGACACCTCGCACGATTCCGCTCTCACGTGAATCTGCGCCGATGAGTACTACGCTGCAGCGATTCTTAATCGCGCAAGATATGAGAAATGTTGAATTCACACACGCGCGCTCCCGAACATGGCCGTATAGAAAAATCATTATACTCACTGGGTTCACCACATCTGAATCAACACTGGGATACAGATAGCCCGTCTCGAAGGACTGCGCCCTCCGTTGCATCGCATCACCAGGACCAACCTGTAGAAAAAGGTTTGAACATTTAAAAGAAAAAGGGAATTGTTCACCTCCATGTAACCAACATAATTAGGACAGAATCTTCTAGTATCGGTATAAACATTGCTTTGAATCAAGCTAGCGAAGAGAAAGTCTGGCCTAAAGAAAGGGCTAGAATATGGAAAATTTGTAGAATAAGACACCAACGTTTTAGTCTTCGACGTCTTCGAAACCACTACACACTTCCCACTGTTATCAACATTGTGGTCTAATCCGAACAAAACAGCTACTCGATGTATCAACATCCGGTTGTAAGAAGAAACCGGTGGGAGTTTTAGAGATTGTTCCCTGAAGAATGCACTTTTTGGAAAATGAGATAATGATGTAGTGCCTACAAAATCGTAGTCGGCTATCCGGAAAAGAAAAAAGTGGATTTTCAATCGATCAATTAAGCTGACAGATCAAATAGGACAACTCTTAGAGCCTGTGTCAGTCGCGTACTCCTTTTCGGTTGGCCCCATCGCTACGCCGAAACTCGCATCATGTGGGCGCGTGTACAGTCAGTTTAATCCCGAAATAGGCGGAACATTCTACGTGGAGCAGCGCGTGCGCACATTTTGCCAAGCTGAGACTAAGGAGAATGAAGAGATGCAGACTTGGGAGCACGATATGGTGTACTGTAACTCGAAACGGCGCGAACCGTTGCGAGGTGGACACTCGCCAATCCAAATTCCGCCTAATGCGGGTCGAAACTTACTGTGGGGCTTGAACAAAACTAGCATTATTGATTGCAGGTGCCCAAGCAAAGCCCAAGCAAAGGCCTCGCCTTGCGGATGTCTAGTTTCTACGCGGAAGAGAGTACGTAATTGACCCAAACTATAACTCACCCAAACTCATTAACAAAATCCGTGAACAGTTGCTCTAATTCTAGAATCATAGCACGATCTCTGGCATTTTTATGCAATGTGGCTGCAATGAAAGCGCGAAGCTCCACTTCAGTGAGATCAGCCGTGTAGTCCGTATATGATGACTCTAAATTACTCATTCGAACCTCTGATTGCATCAATTACCTCATTTACCTCGGCTAAGTGACGAAGAATTCCTATGAAATCTAGGCGGTACGCCTACTGAGCTTACTGAAGCAAACGTGTTCACCATCGGCGGTGGTGGTGGTCGCAGCCGAGTGTCATCGTCGCCGCACATCGCTAAGCTGCGTACAAGTTGTCGAGTCCTTGATGGCACTGTGCCGGGATATGGATGTTTTTCGACACGCATCTGTAAGAGCAAAACCACAAAATCTTCTAGTACTTGATTTTTGTAACTGTGAAGATTTGGCTCACCAGCGTTGGCGCACCAGAAATTCGTTCTGGTAGAAGCTCACGCATTGGTCGCATCTCGTCCACTTCATCGGGTAAGTTTACAGAAATTGGTTGTGGCTGCGATGACTGCTTATACTGAATATATTTACAAAATATAAAAGCTATAATTTCGCGTTGGCGTAAAAGTCACTTTTCTACGGATAGAGGTGTGATACACATTAATCAAAAAAAAATTCAACCCACTCCGCATGGTATTTGGTTGCCTGTTGGGCTTGGGTAGTGTGGTTCATCAGTCCTGGCAGGTGCTCCATGATCTGCAGACGCCTCGTTGGTAGACTCATCAGGTATGCTGGCGGACAGGGTTTGAGCTAATGACTGCAAAAATCACAAATACAAATAAAACTGGTAACAGCATATTGGGAGAAGGAAAGGGGAATGCCACCTGTAAAATACTGGCAAGTCGTCGACCGCAGGTGCGGCCGATATTGCGGAGCAGGAGAAGCGCGGCTGAAACATTACTAGAGCACGACTTGTGCTATAGCGACTTGCACTAGTACAAGCGCAAGCGTTACACCCCTGCGTCGCGTGCTCCGCATTGACGGCCATTCGTTCTGTCGACGACTTGACAATATGCAGATGGTTGCGAAAAACGTAATAAAAATACGATGACGATAATTTTACAAAAAATACCTTGCTTTTGATCAGCTTTCGCTTCGCTGTCTCTGGCGGACCTTTACTGGCAGAAGGTCGTAAAGGTTTTGATGTTACAACTACATCGACTGATCGTGGCCGATCTTGAGCGCCTAGAGGATGTCCATTCGGCCTCCGCAATACGTCAACAGAAGCAGGGCGATGATCTTGATTCTGCAAGGTGTGAAAGTTATTTACAATTTTGACATAGACAACAATGCGTTGCATCTACATCTAGTGGATTTTTCACTCGATATGATCTGCTTAAGGTGCCGAAATTGAGTGACCAAATTTGCGCGTAAGATAGCTACGCCTGTGATGCCGGTCACTTGCGCGCGCAAAATGCCTGCACTGCTGGCGCGTGGCTATAGGTTCACGCGCAAATTTGGTCGGCTTTGGCACCGTAAGCACATAATTTAAGCGGAAAATCCAGCAGACTGTACACACAGTACAGCATAAATTAGCACCTCAGACAGCAGTGGTTTCAGTCGTATACGACTGTTAGACGTAGGCTGAAGACAGTCTTCTTCCTCTCCTAAGAAGATAGGCGAACATGTCTGAAACTATCTCGTAGATTAGTTTACAATGTATAGCCGTTATATAATAGCTGTTTTAAGCTAACCTCATCGACTGTCATTTGTTTCGACAATTTTTGTCGTGCATGGAATGTTGCAACGGCTGAAGGTGGTTTGGACAATTTACCGGTGATGACTTTACTGGTCGATGGACTCTCTTCTGCTGACAGCGTTCGCCTCGTTAGACTTGATCGAGCTGTTAAGGAATTCAATGAAAACGAGCATCCTTTTGTTACAAACTTGATCAAAAAAGGGGAAGTTTTCGAGTCGCTGAACGCTAGCGCTGAGCTGACGCAGGATTTATGGATGTTAACGAAGGCCTTATACCACCTATTTCAAACGTTTACAAGATCCCTTACTCAACCTACGAGTTGAACAACGTAGGTTTAGTTTTCGGACACAAGATAGCCTCAAGATACAACATTTGCACTTGGAGGTGGCATATTAAATACTCTAAACTAACGCTTCATTATGCATGTTCGACTACCACGCCAAAATCTTTTCGCATAAGGCGATGTAAAGATGCGTCCTATCCTGCCACGTTTGTACCCACTCAGAGTTGTGGTGTGAAGGACACCTTTCAAATCCCAAGACAAAAGCTCCGCCTCTTGGGTTTCCAAGAGCAAAGTGGGGCCGACACGTGCAAAACGCAAGCAACCTGGAGCTCCGTCCACTTCGGATAGAGGACGAGATGTCACCGAAAGGGAGGATCTCGCGCGGAAATTCTGTAACAAATTGTGCAAATTTGCAAATAGTTGCAGCTCGTGGCAGCTGTCCACGAAGGATCAAGCTTGTTGGCGACATGTTACCTCACTACCCGTCCACTTCTGCGCGATGTCGCTATTTGTCGGAACCTGTATCATATGAGGACCCCAACTCTGTTTTTGGCGACGAAGTCGAAGTGAAGCATGCGTATTGGGAGCGAAACTCAAAACTGACACGCACCCCAACCCCGGAGTTACCACAACTCCTATTGGGTTATCGGAGGCGAAATGCGGAAGGCACAGTTTTGAATTTAGCGCGCAAAGTAGACTCTCCATCTTCAGCGGCTTTGACGACAAAAAAGGGGGTTAATCATAGTACAGGTCTTGATATACTGATGGAGCGCAGGAGTAGGCTCCCGCTTGCAATTTGCACGATATTCTTTTGGGTGCTGGTCTTTAGGCTGCGTTCATACTGATCGGGAAGTTCGGAAACAGTTCCGAACCTCCGGATCAATATGAACGAAACCTTACCCAATATTCCTGACAAGATATGCATACTGAAACCATCGATCGCGAGCGTGCTCTCATTTTCCCAAGCTTAATAAGCGATTGAAGCTCCGCCTCTCAAACCTAGAAGTGGGAAATGAAAGAAGTTTTGTATCTCTTTAGCAATTATATTTAACTTCTCAATTGTCACATTATGATTAGCGAGCAGGCTCGCTACCCCACCCAGCACCCGTCACAACCAGTAATACAGAGGGCACATGATCTTCTACCACAATTTCTGGTATAATGGTAAAATTCGGGAGTGTAAAGCCTTGCATTTGTTGAGTGCAAATCCAGTCCTGCAAGACTACTGCCGAAACGTGCGCCTTTCGTCATACACCCCTCTAAACGACTATCGTGGCCATAGACCTACACGTGCTTTCAGCAGTAAATGGCGGCGCAACCGGCAAGGTATGGCGGGACGCTTAGGCGTGCGTGCGCGTTTGATTGAGACTTCGGGGCTGGCGAAAACAGTGTAAAGGTGTGCTCATCATAAACTCATATTAAGGAGAAGGGAAGATGGAGGAGTATGGGCGACAAAGGATATTACAATATACGACATCAATCGCAACTCCGATGTACAACCACGGATATTCAAACTGTAATCCATGCTGAGTAAACAAAAATTGGAACTTTTCGGCTGTCTCCTCAACACATGTCATCCCGGTCAAAAAAGTTTCTTCGCCTTCATCACTGCTGGGAGTGAGTCATGCAGCGATTTGGCTATTCACGTGAATAAGAACAAAGGTAAACGAGAAAAATTAGCAAATATATTAGGTTGTTGCAAAAATAATGTCCGTTTTGCAAAATTTCACTTTGAAAAGCTATAACTTCGTTCAGTGTTTATATTTTTGAATGCAATCAAGACCATCAGATGCAGTAAACTTTTCGTAATCTAAGGCGCACCTCCATATACTGATATCGCAAACGGGAAGAAAACCAAGCTTCAAAAATCCAAAAGTTTTGCTTTTGAAAACCTCGTCTTTGAAAGATTACAAATTCCTTCAAGTTTTGTTATTATGGTTCTAATCAGCTTATTTTGTAGACGCAACCCAGTAGTATACATTTGTTTAAAAAGAACTTTAGCGAAGAAGTTCTGCGCATTAAAAAAGATAGAAATCCAAAACTTTGCACTTTTTCAAGCCTTTTGTGATAGGCTTGGAAGTCCCAAACTATGAAAACTTAGATTTCTTCATGCACTGAATAGCTAAGTTTTTCTGTATAAATTGTAGATAAGATGTCCTTACCTTAAGCCTACAGAAATGAGCGAAGTTTCAGTGATTGCCCTAATCAGGAAAATTTTCGAACCCATAGAGTTCCAGGCAGCGAGTATCTTTTTTGAAGCTCGATTTGTCAGTTCAGGTATATTCGAAAAACTTATTTAAACATGCAATAAGTAAACAATATTTATCCTATACAGTAGCTATGTTTTCAGAAGAATTCGTTTATTTGCGCCTGAATTGTGGTCAAGAAAGTTGGAGCAATGAAATTTCGATTTTGAGTGCGGCTGTTCAAAATGCTGGTGAAAATCTTACAGATGAGATAAAGGCTTAATTTCACCACCGTTGAAAAGTACATGAAGGAAGCTTTCCAATGATGTGCAAAATCTATATCGAAAAAGAAAGCCTGAAGGAGAAAAGTCGTTTAAGATATACACTCAGAAAAACGGACATTATTTTTGCAACAACCTAATATAAAACGACAAAATTCTCGTCAAAACTGGGTATTACCTCAGTTTTTTCCAAACTTCTACACATCACATACAAAACAACGACGGTACCTGCTGAAGCATAGGAAACATTCGGTCGACGCATGCCGCCACACCGCTGCACCGAATCAGCTGCCGGCTGGCTGATACTGGGAAAAACCGAACTAATGCTGCTGCTGGTCGCTCTAGCAGTAGCGCAGTTTCGACGATGTTCGTCTCAAAAATCATCACACTCGATGACATTGCACCAAACAAAAGCAGCAAACATAAAAAAGCACACATACACAACCCTTTCACTTCGGTCTCTTCCTCCAAAAAAGCAAAAATTCCACGATCCTCAATATGAACTTAATCACTAGTGCCAATGCACACGTATTATTTCAGGATTGAAAGGGTTAAGTGCGGTGCAGAAAGCGGAAAATAATTTCAACTAACAAAAGCCAACCTTGACAACAATTTCCAGCTTGGATTTTTCCCCTCAGCTCACAGCTGTGGACCGAATTCTGGCGAGCTAAAAACCAAATGCAAACATGCATATATCGACAACATAGCAAAAACAGAAAAAGACTAACTCCAGTTTGGACTATAAACTCACACGATCACGGCAACAAAATCGAACAAGGGCAGAATAAAAACCAATTTTCAGAGCAGTGAACAATAAGTTTGTTGTAAACTGCGAGGTTGCTCATACATAGATCGTCATGAGATCAAACAGTGCCAAGATTTCAGGATTCATGATTTCTGATTTTGTGTTCTGGGAGGTTTACAGTCTTCAATGTGTGACGATATATCACTTGTAAACAGGAACTTGAAGTACTGCTTCACAGCTGACTCAAACCTGGTAATGAATGATGCCTTCACCGATATTTTCTAGAAATTTCTTCCCAAGTTCTAGAAGGTTCGCATACATGGCAAAAATTAGCCGAAACTTGAAAAGAAAATACCCTATTCTAAATAAGATTAAGCATGATTAACATCGTAAAATGGCAACTCGCATGTCGGTTAAGGTGTCAGACAAAAGAGTTCAACCACAAAAACAGTAGGAAGATAAAAATTGAAAGTGGAAGGGAAAGGGGAAGGGAGAGGGTAGATATAAGAAGAATATAAGCAGGAAAGTTGCCATTTACAGGAGGTACGAACATAATCTATTCGATCTGAATAATTTTGGACAAAGCGAATTTATCTGCAACAATTTAGCGGATGAAGATACGCTTAATTAATTAATTGACGCTACATTCTCATACAACGATAAATCTAGAACGAATCAAAGATTTGTTAGCGTGGAGACAGAACGGATGTGTTGAAAAGAGATTATCGAACATTCGCGAATGTTATATAAATGACTTCCGGTTAGATAGGCAGCGCAGATGCGAAAAAGCATTTTGACTCGAATTCGAAAGCGAAAATGACGCCGTCGAATGAAATAACATGATTTAACTTGCAAACACACTTGTCGTAGCATGATGATAAACTGGTAATCGATGATGACACCGATCGAAAATGCATTCTTTCGTTTCCCGAAAAATTTTCTGATTTCACATCTCTGTGCTCGGTTCTGCGCGTGTTTTCCGTCTTTTACTCTTATTTTCCATTCACTTCGGCATTATGCTACAATTTTATCTTTGACAGCTACGCTTCTAACAAATCTACTTTTGAAAGTCAGTCGTACAAGCTTCCAGAACCTTATCATTGCTCTGTATCGAAATGCAATATATTAGGTTGTCCCAAAAGTAAACTGTATTTCTAGATAAATCAAACTGTTTTTGTTTTCCTGGCAGAATTGCGGTACCATTCGATAGAGTGAAGCAAGCTCTATGAAATGACCCAAAATGATCCGCTCATGTCGTAATCCGGGTAAAGTCTGGAGCAAAAATCGAAAGAAATTTAGTGCTTAAAAATTGGATTTTTGCGAAGAATAATCGTACGGAACTCAAACATGGTTATTATACAGTAGACACATAGTTGTACTCAAATATGCCTTTACTGAATTTTTTTCGAGCTCAAAAAGCGAGAAAAAAAGAGATAGTCTGAAAATGGCCCACTCCGCCCCCAGCCCCCCTCCCACATATGTCGTTGTATACTACAAGCCTTACTAGGTAATTTTGAAACTTTACGCTTGTATGTGCTCTTATAATCGAAAAATACTAAGTTTTACATGAAAAACCCGAAAAAAGTGGCATTTTGGCATTTTGGGACCATCTTTGTTTCTCAATTTTGAGCTCCGGAAAAAATCAACCAAAACCATTTTTGGTACTACCACGTGTTTACTATATACCAAGTGGAAGTCCGTAGGAATTTTCTGGAAGGAGATCCGGTTCTTAGGGTGGCTGAAAATTTTTGATTTTGGACTCAAATTATACCTGGATTGCGGCTTAGACAGTTCTTTGGTGGTCATTTTGTAGAGCATATTTCACTCTATCGAATGGTACCCCAAGTTTGCCAGGAAAATACAGTTTTATTCAGAAATACGGTTTACTTTCGGGACAACCTAATATTAGGTAGGTGCAAAAGTTCTGTGGTACCATTTTTGACAAATCATAACTTCTTACTGTCTATCACGGGTTTGCACATACTTGATTCTGCTTGATAAAGAAAATCATTCTCTTTAGATCAATGGCTTTGCTGCTTTTTATCAAGGGATAGCTTTTGAGATAGAAGCAGCAGCGGATTAAAATCATTTCAGCTTCGATCACTTCAAGTTAGGCTGCTTAGAATCTGAAGCCTGCTATAAAATTCGGAGCAAGCAGAGTAAGTCCCTTAATACCTCTTTCCGACTGTGCAGGTTATGATTTTCGAAAAAAAAGAAAAAAACAAAACCAGAATTGGTTTGGTGTGTTGTATTGCTCATTCAAAAACCGTAGCTCTTCTCAGAGATGCTCAATTGATACAAACAATGCATTGTTGAAAAGGGCAGATCAAAAGACTGATCGAAGTTGCGATGATTTCATTCTCATGCTTCTGTCACAAAAACTATTTCTTAATATAGACCAGCAAAGGTACTATTCCAAAGAGGATGACTTCCCCTATCTAGTAAAATCAAGCACCCGTCGTGTGAACAAGAAATTAGGATTTTCAAGAACGGTGCGACAGAACTTTGCAAAAACTCACTACTTCTATCCCACCTCACTTTTTTTCCGACATTCTGCTCGTGTGGGAAAGGGTAGAGGGACATTTTGTCCAGCATCCAGCCATTGGCCCCCGTTAGGTAACTTGTACACCTCAAAGACTGTTACCGCCCCTATATTCCCCCCCCCCCCCAATCTTGGTAAATCTAGCCCTCCACTGACTGTCTATACCGTGTACAGACAGGAAGACAAACTGCTAGCAGAACAGCGCCCCTCCTCCTCCCCCGTCCCCCTCCCCTCCCCTCATCCTTTTCTATGAAGAAAGTTAAGTGACCCTGCAGTCCTTAATATAGAAGCAAAGAAAATACATTACAAATTCATTGATTCCGTCAGGAACGAGCATGTGAACGGGCACTTATTCAAATGCAGTTTTGGATGGAAATTTCGCGTGCACATGTCACTAAGCAATGCATGGCAAACTTCTCAAATGTAGAACAGAAATGTTTGACAAGAACTTTTTTTTGAGAAGTTACGTAGGGCATTTAACATACTAGCTGGCAAACCCGGCTCCGCCCGGCCCTGTCATTATTATATTCGTAATCAGCATGCTCGATTACCCCCCTGTGCCAACTCCCAGCCCCGTAGCTCAAATTTTGCAAAAAATCGATAAAATCGATATCGATCGATAACGAAAAGTAGCCTATGACACGCTCCCTGCCCCGAAGTATATGTGTGCCAAGTTTGGTCCAAATCGGTTCAGAAATAAAAATTTCTATTCCGCACATACGTACAGACATACAGACATACATACAGACATACAGACAGACATACAGACAGACAGCTTTATATATAAGATGACGAGTGCCGTCAACGCATTTACGTTAGAAGACAAAAAAGTCTTCACGAAAACGAGGAGAAAAATAGATTTTTTGATAAAGAAAAGGAGGGAAAATTATGTGCAGAAATCGAAAATTACAGGGAAAACTTTATTTTCCAATTCGCTTACTTCAGGGCTGTAAGCATACAATACGATTATGGTCACAAGTTTCGCCGAATTTTTGCCCAAGAAATCATATATCATCCCATTTATCCCTAAAACTTGGATGAAATCGAAGAATTTTATATTTATTGCAACTCATTGATACCGTAATCCACAATATGCCAACATGAGAGAGTATTTTGTAATCAAAGCGCCAAATTAGCCTTTCAAAGATGTCTATTTTGATCACGTCAGATAGTTAATAAGAAGGCATAGTGGAAACTCTTATACAAAAAGTGCCCTTAAAATTAGGCCCCGCCCCTGCCATGCCTCTTTCAAGTGAGCCACCATTCAAATCTCTGCTCTAATCACTTCATATCTGTTGTTCCAAATCAAAAATGCGAAAAAAAACACTCACCTGCAATTTTTTCAGCCTGAGCATTCATCGCATTCACCTCAGACGTGCTCTTCTCTGATTGCTCAATGAGGTTTTGTTGACCACCTCAAACAAAAAACCGACGCTCTCGACATCTGGTACGAATTTGCATATCAAAACCCATTAAAAACTAACTGCATTGGGGCTGCTGTTCATCATTCTCGACATCGTTGCGGATTCTGATTCCAGATGTTTCTGTTGGATCATCGGTTTCAATGGGATTAGTTGCAGGTGTTGGGGTTAGTGTTTTGGGATTTTCCGCCTGCATGATAGCTCCTGAGAAGAAAACAGGCTCAGTTCTTGTGATCCATGGAACAAAAGCATAAACTTACGGTCAGTAGATGTGTTCAGCTCATTATCAGTGTGAAGTACGGTGCCGGCATCATTGCCAACAACCGATACCATGCCCCTCTGCCTGGAATGGACAATTCGTAGTGATCATATGGATTTCAAACAACACAAGAAAAGCGTAAAATATATGGATTTCGATGTTTGATAACTCGGAATTTCTGCCGTAACTTCGGCGAGACTGCCATAAACTGGCAGAGGTGCTCTGCTGATATACTCGACAAAACATTTTGCAGAAATTTTTTTCACAGCGCAAAAAACGCAAACCGCATTCAGAGGCAGCGTCCAGGCATATAGAATGACCATTTTTTGAAACTGGCTTGGCGGCTGAAAGGCTGGGCTTCGTGATCTAAAAAGGCCAGATAATGATCAAAGAGCAAGCGCGCGGGAGAGTCACAGACTGCGTTGCGGGCGTGAGCGGCCTTTTAGGTCACAAAGCCCCGCCTTCCAGCCGCCAGGCCAGTTGACAAAAGTTAAACCTGGGTCTTCTATGGGAACCGATTGAGAAGGCTTAGCAGCTACTCTCCAAAAGACAGTTCATACGGTTCATTCATAACTGAAAAAAAAATACTTAACTTGAGCCCAGACCGTAATCCTCCCAAGCAGGGCCAGCGCCTTCGGATTCTAAAAAGTGCGATCTGAGCTCTTCAGCAATTAATTTCGCCGCCGCAAATGAATGAACTGCGCTTGAACAATGGCTTAGCTAATATCTCCCAATCTAATTCGACACAAGAAACCTAGATATCCAGAATTGTTCGGATGCTGTGATGCATTGGAAATCGGAAGTAAATTAGATTAAAAACATAAAGAGCCGCGAGTTGTCGCCAGACCTGCCCCGATAACAAAATTCGAAGGAGATATCATATGATTTACTAGTTCCTGAAAGCTTTCTGAGAGGATTGCAAGGATTTGTAAGATTGGCAAAGATAATCAATCTGAAAAGACAGACGCAATATCCGTCAAGAGCAAAGGAATTTGCGCAAAAATAGTCGTCAGACAGGCTATGGATTAACTACAGATCCAGATCTTTTATTCACAGATCGGCCCAGACGGACACGTGCTGAAAAAGATTTTGAAAGGCTTAAGCGTGAAGGATTAAGAGGAAGGGGGGAAGAGACAAAGAATTTTTTCAAAAAATCTGTCCTCAAAAAATAGAAGAAACCCGTACTAGAAACAACTTCTTCCAACAACTTTGAGTCCTTCTCGCTGCCGAAAATATTCAAGAACTTCCGCAGGGCGGACAACGGTTAGAGGCAATTTCGAGGTAACTCTTTGTACTTCATTTTATGCGAATTTCTTTGAGGAGGCTCTAAACCCGTCTAAGCTGCAGCTCATGTTTTGTTGTTGGGTAAAAAAATTCTTAGAACTCTCAGCTATACATTTTCCTCAAAAGGACCTTTTTAAGACAAAATATTCCACATAAATCCAAAACTGGTCAGATTTCAGTTCAATACAAGTCGCCCCAGTAGGTGGATGGTGCTAGGATCACCACGCCTAGCAGCGTGGGTGCTCTAAAGCTAATAAGCTCGAGACTAGACTCAGTATCTATAAATACTGAAAACACGCTTTTCATACTGAAAAGCGCATATTCGACATAGAGGTTATCTAAAGTATTCCGTTTCGAACTCTTCATTCCTGGACTACCCACAGTAGTGGGCGTGGCGACCCAGTAGCATCCACATTTTTAGCGATTTTTTTTTGCTTCGAAATACGCGATTTGCGGCGGGATTTGGGCAATCATTAGTTAGGGGGCTTCAGGCAATTATTAGCTGACGCCTCTTTCTTATTGTAGTGCATCAAAATCTCATAAATTTCAGATTTGGAAAGACGGTGCCTTCAAATAAGATTTGCGCCAAAGGTGCGAATTTTAGAAGGCGAATATTGAAGCGAGTCGATTAAGAGTGGGAATCTCGAAGATTGTATCCATGTGGGTGGGAGCAAGTAAAGAGCCTCACAAGATTAACTGCAGCAAGACATTACCACGCTCTGGAGTGCACTTTGTGGCTTTTACAACACGTCATTTCCTTCGCCTTCCTGCAACGCAACAATGAGTATGGAATCATTTATCCTTTCTCATCACTCCCTCTCTTGACCTAAACTTTTTCTTTTTTCTAGAACATCAGTCATACGTGCTTTCAGCTAAAATGCGACATATTCCAAGTGACTGTTTCAACATTTGTCAGCGTATGTAAGCAATTACATATGCGAAACATTGGCTTCAACGTTTTTCGATATCTATTCATCATTTATTGATAGAGAGCAGACATGTTTCTTTCAAAACACAATTTCAAGTTGATTTGTTCTTTGAAATCCTGTCTCTTTGGTCCAAGGCTTAATTCTAAAAAATCTTCCAATAACACATACATAGCCACCAGTATCATATGTAAAGTACCAATGGTGACCAAAGAGATGGAACTAAGAAAAAAGTCGTGGCAGAATACGGTGCCAGAACAATTGCAGTGGATAAAAATTACTAATCGTCCAGAAAAATCAATAAAAAAATGGTCTGTTCCCTCAAAACATAAACCAAGAAAAAAATAAAGAAGCTCAAATCTATTGACATGCGACACTTACGTAACCCATCAAATCAACCCGTGATTTCCTGAATGTATCGCCTCAGAGGCGCCTATGCTGAAAACATTTCCGAACTGACTTATGTACATAGACAACATAGAGCTCAGAGATATTGGCTTTGGTCGTTCTCTGAGTGTTAAAAGTTAATTCAGCTGACAGAAATTGAGATAACATAACAGTAGTAAGAATCTGGTAAGCAAATTCTAGTTAGAAAATGTGGGTCAAAAATGCGCTCAGATGATGAGCCTAAATTTTCCTCATATTTTCTATATTTTATTACATTATAAGAATTCTATGAATGGTAGTACTTAAATCAGCGGTCAAATTAATTTTTGTAAATTTTCTCTGGTTATCCATCCCCCTACAAATTCAAATTCGCCAAGAAGAAGGACTCGACATGCAATAATCGAAGTGACAGCTGCAGCTATGCAAACTACGAGGTGAAGGGAAGGGACGCAAGAATTGAAAAGTGCAACCAATAAAGAAAACTTGCAAAGTTCGCGTGGGGTAGAGGAACGAACACCGCCGATAGGCACTGCTTCCGCGGACTACTGGTCCTCGAATTGCATGTCACAGTAAGTGTGAAAGGACCAGTGGTCCGCAAAGGCGGTGCTTAACGACAGTATTTCTTCCTCCACTCATTCGCGTGCAAAACGATTCACTTGGTCCCTACAATCAGCTGTCAAAACATGAAGATATAGATTGCCAGATTTTCCGTAGCGGCATATATACCGTTAAAAAAAGTCGGAGTACTTTTTTGGATTAATTTTCAAAAATAACGAGTTTATCGCAGTATATATCTGCTGATAGTCTAGCGATTGAGAATATTTCTCGAAACTTCGAATTCTGTCTACGCTTGAAAATGTTGCGGAACATAGATTTATGGAATTTTTGCAATTTTCGATTCAAAGGTACGACTCTGCCTTGAGCAGAGATAATTTTAGACATGAGAGCTCTTTGATGAAGTGACGTACAGTAAATCATCTATCGCTCGATGTTCTTCAAAAAAAGACGATGAACACCGCGATGCAGAACCAGCAGAAAGCAAGTGACTCGTTCACATTCTCGAGCGAATCTCATACGATGAAGCAATCGTTTGGAAGAAAAATGTCACGGAAACCAGTTTGCCAGGATATTAGCGAGCAAACGCTGATGTTAACGGTATTATATAAGGATCTTTGCGCCTTATAATCAGCAAATACTGTCTGTATAAAACGAATAAAGCGAAAATTAACACACGGAAATAGCCCTCAAAAAATAGTAGAGAAGCAATAATGAGATATCAAGGGATAAATGAGCGAGTCAAAGAGAAATTGATAACTTCCTTGAAAACAGAGCTCATACACTAACAATATGCGAGGAGTTGAACTGAAGCGGGATGTTGGAGGAAAAAAGAGGACGAATAAATAGATAAAGAGCTCTATATGAGCTTGGTGAATGGGCATATGAATAAATAAAAGATGTTGAATATAGCAATCAACCTATACCAGATGCATTAACACGTAATGAGAAGAACGCAAGTTCAGAAATTATTCATCTAAGAAAGACCCCATGAGCACAAAAGAAGGACCACAGAAACAGCTAACAAATCAAAATTGCTAAGAGATGGATAAAGAAGTGAATTCTCCGAGCGAAGCCTCTGCGAACTATTGGACCTTTCGCGCATGCTTTTAGATACCGTGCGAGGACCAGTAGCCCGTGGAGGCGGAGCCTGATGATGGAATTCATTAGTCTACCCCTAGAAGATCACGAGAGAGATGGAGGGAGGGGAATAATAGATTATAATGTAATAAATAAACCTAACTTGAGTGTTTACAACCATGTGTGCTTTCTCAAGAAGATTTTATCAGAACCCTTCAAATAATTCCTCCGCCCCCTTTCTCTCCCGCTCCTTCACGCAGCTTTTTGAAGCTGAATAGAATTAGCATTGACGCAAATTCAAGCTCAAACGTACCAGATGGCGGTTGGGTTTGTGACTGATTGAAGTAACCGAATAAAAGATTTCCGCTTGAAAAAAAAATTCCCTCAGCAATTTAAGACCCATTCCGTTCATTTTTTGAAATGGTAAATGATTTATACTGATGACAGGCAGAATATTTCTTGTAATATGAGAATAATCAAATACAAAACTTAGTAAAGCCAAGAGAAACCAATAATTATGCAAAGCATATAAATCCCCCCCCCCTGGCTCTTTCGCTCCTCTAATACTTGTACGGTACTTTCACATGACTTCTGCATATTCCACAAAGTTCTGCTGGAATGGAGCTTGAGAGCAAACTTCAACTTTTCCAGAAGTTTTTACTACCCCTCCTTCTAGATCAAACCGTAAAAAAATCCCCACTACAAGATATGTGAGCGTTCGATGAAGCTATAGACAAAAAACAGCCGCTAACGAACGTCAGCGAGCGCCTGTGGGCGTGCGAGTCGCGGCAGCAGATAAGTCGTCAAGAAAAAAAAAGCAAGTCAATAACGTCACGTTACGAACTCTCGGAC